CGAAAACTCAGTCGCAAATTTGGCGTGCATGGAATTCCTCGCCTGGTCCTGCTGGACGGAGAAACTGGCCGAGTGATAACCAGGGATGGGTTCGACAGACTGTCTGAAGATTCCACCGGAAGCGGATTTCCCTGGAGGCGGAAGCCTCTCCATGACATTGTCAAGGGAACACTTCTTCAAGTAATTGGCGGATCTGATGTCCCACAGGAAGTTGATGCCAACTCTGTACTGGATGGGCAAAGCGTTATCGGATTTTACTTCTCCGCACACTGGGTGAGTATTGTAGTACGTGTACCCATTAACTTTATTATGATAACTAAGAGGTTAACAGTAAGCACAGAATCATCCGGTGGGTCTTTCCTGGGAATACACATCTTGAAGGGTGTTTCCGTGGCGAAGTGATCAAGCCGTTTGCCTCGCGCTTTAAAGGTTGTCGGTTCGTTTCACGGAGGTGCCGTTAGGTTCACGAGTGCAATTTTTACGGAGATCTCTGATTATCGTAGCCGGAGCTACGGAGGTCGCGCTCTGTGAGACGCTATCGGCAAGCAGCTAGTTGTTATGAGGAAAGAGATGCAGTAAACTCGATCATCTCACATTTACCTTTAGTTATCCCAAAGATCACAACCCCTAAATACAAGATGGTAGACAACATAGCCGGCACAGAGCGGAAGGCTGTCAGAATGTACACACACAAAGCGATGAGAAAGAAACTCCACTGACCACCAACAGTTATAACGTTATCATGAGGTTGAACAGGGTTAATCGATTATGAAGAAAAAGAAAACTGGCGGGGGTGGGGGTGGGGCGGGGAGAGAAGCTCGAACGTCTCCGTGGAGAGGTGATAAATCAGTTACCTCGCACCCTGAAGGTCGTGTGTTCGCTGTTGAACGTCGTTAGATTTCCAGTTGTCGGGGTTTCAGAACCTCCGTGAGATCGTCTTCTGAGCAACGGAGTTTCATGCTTTTTAGAATATTTACTTTTTTGTTTCCTTATCTTAATTAATGTTTTGCTCATCTTTTTCTTTTTCTTTTTCTTCTTCTTCTTCTTCTTCTTCTTCTTCTTCTTCTTCTTCTTCTTCTTCTTCTTCTTCTTATTATTATTATTATTATTATTATTATTATTATTATTATTATTATTATTATTACTATTATTATTATTATTATTATTATTAGCACTCACTGGCGGTAAACGGCGACGAAAGATTCTGTGTATAAGTCCCGTTCTGGGCTTTTCTGTTGTTCGAGTACTTGTTTCAAGCCTAATTTAAGTTAGGTCGATCTGAAAGTCGAGGTCACTTATGCAAAAAAAATCAAAAGTGATTGTTCCAGCTCAGAAAGAATAATGGAAAAGGTGGAGACATGCATGCTCAGTGGGGTGAGGCAAGCGTCGCTTCAGCGGTCCGGGTAACTGGCATCCTTTGGATAATTTTTCTCCAGGGATACATGTGTATTGGAAAACGAACATGCAGACAGATTTCCTGGGTCTGCACTGCTTGGTAGAAAATGCACGACAAGCTAAATGTGGTCAAGACACTTTGGTAGCGATTGGACAATGCGGAAGCACGAACATATCATAGTAGTCTGGAGAGAATGCAGCAGAGGGAAGTAGCCAGAAGATCTAGTTGACACTCAACACTCAGACCAAAGGCAAGACGGATATACAAACATAATTATACCGGTATTATCATAATTAGAATCCTGAACTTACTGCTGGAGATGAGAACTGAACGCTTATGGGAATGTCTCGGACGCATGGCTTATGAGAATATCTCGAGTGCTTTAATGTCTTTGTTAACTCATTTAAACCCAGTCCCTAAGCTGGAACCCGCGTCAAGCTCATTCTAAGCTTGGTAGATCAAGGTCAGTTGTAAAATCTCTGCATTAACGCCAACAAAAGACATCATCAGAAAGGTGACAGGTTCGCCCATTGGCTAACCGGTAGACGACTTCGTCGCTAGTTAGGAGAATATTTGGGTCTGTCTCTCTTGATCGCATCAATACTGCAAGAGTCCTATTCACGGCTACTTGATGGCGAGCACTGATAAGCATTTTATATGGCGCCCACAACCCTGTCACAATTATAACCTTAAGCTCCTCTTTTAGGGATACTAGTTGAACGTGACGAATTTTTTCTTCTCCGCAAAGCTAGCAAGCAGAAGACAGCGGGGCTTAAAAACAGGCGTCTGGCCACTGTTAAACGGCAGCTTCCAACCCAGAAGTAAAATCCAACAAAAGTCATCAGTCACTATTTCAAAGAGTAAATGAATCTGTCTAGTACCTACACACTAGATGACTTTTTCAGAGGCGCGCCCACCAAAAAAAAATAAAAAGCCCGTAAATCGTCGGGGTTTCAGGTTCTGTACCCACAACAAACAAATATTTGTCTAGAAGCAGCGGGTATAAATAAATGTGCCAAGTCTGGAAATGTGCTGTGCGAGAGAAAACAGCCGGGCGGCCAAAGGCAATAGAAGACAGTGGATCTCACACTGTGTGTTGTTGGGTGCTGGCATGTGTGATGGGTAATGTGGTGATACAGTTAGGGTAAGTATTATGTGTAGATGAAGTGTTACGGATATGCAGTGTCAGTTTTAGGTATAAGTTAAATGAGCAACAGGGCGAGGCCTTACAATTTGCAGAGGATAAAACATCTTCCGCAAATGCAATTTTGTTAAAAATATATTTATTTAACTGAAAGTTTTTTAGGAGAATATTTAATATATAATATAATTTCTGTGATTTTGCAAACTCTTTTTTTTTTTTTTTTAATGCAAAATTAAACGACAGTATGTTTCCGTTATCCATATATTTAAATCGAAAGGAAGATACAAGCATTGGAAATGTGATGTTTCAGACAAATTCTTGGCATATCATACAGAGACTACATTACAAACGAAGATGTTCACCACATAATTATACAGCACATTGGCAATTACAGTGAAAAAGCGAAAATGCAATGGTATAGACATGTAATAAGATCTGTTTGTTTTAGTATCCAGAAGCCATGAGTTTCTAACCCCTAGGCTCGGTATTAAGGATATCGCAATCTTTCGGCCTTGATTCCATTGTAAATACCGTAAATCTGGGAGAAATGTGGCATTTCTGCCTACCCCCGGGAGTGAACCCGGACCACAAGGAGTTCGTTACCCGCTCACCGCGCAATCCGGTTTAGCCAACTACGCTAGAGAGCCGGGCGTAAAAAAAATTAACGGCCTCTCAAAAACAATACTGCAGGGCTCAGTAGAGGGAAAGAGGAGAAGAGGCAGACCAAGAAAGACCTGGTTACAGAACCTGACTGACTGGACAGGCCTCAGGCATGCAACCATGAAGTCCATCGCCACTGACCGCTAAAGGTGGAGAGAGCTGAGGAGACAGTCAACAGAAACTGGTGACCCAAAGACACGCAGCTTTATGAGATGATGAATATAATTAAACGGAGTATGTCTTTCAAAGCTTTCTTGAACTAGCTTGTGTAGTAGAAAACGGTAGAGGCCTCACATCTTTATTTATCTTGGGGCCTCATTGAGTCTAAATCCGACACTGCGGGTATGTAAGATGATTTATTTAAGCTTAGTGTAGTAGACAGATTTGGTCTGACTGACGGTCAGGTTTTATGTGACGAGTACACAACTTATTATAAATAGATTGCATATTATGGGTAGGTGTCATTTAGTAGGTTGTTTTATAGTTAGGTTCAATTTCCACTTTTAGATTCAGTCTTGTATTTACGTCAAATGTGGTGGGTGCGTTTGGTGTTAGTATTGGGTTTAATCTGGTCACACTGGAACCAAGTCAGCCAGCGACTAGCGCTTACTGCGTGAGAACAGCAGGCTATAAGGCAAGAGGTCTACCAAGAAAGATAAGGGTAGAGGAAGTAAAAGAGACACTACAGTAACCTATAAAGTAGCATTTCATTAACACAAGCTATGCAACAGGCAAGAAGCAGAAGGCTATATCTAACTGCTCTATGTGAGGTTTGGCGGCATAAGCAGTAAGACAACAGAAGAAGATTCGGGCTTAATGAGGAGGATAGAGTTAGGTTTAAGATTAGACTTCTATTGACGGGCAGATTCAGGGGTAATTTTTAGAATTAACAACATACGGGTATATTTCTATGTTATTGTTAGGTTTGATCGCTTCTTCTGCGTACATCCGAAGGTGTAAAACCGTTGTGCCCTTTCACATCATGGCTGCGACCTTGGCCCCTTTCAGGCGACACATCCGACTTTTGCAGGCAACTGGGTTAGCCTTCCCCTATGTTTAGTTTAATGTACAGATCCCCCCCCCCCCCCTTTTTTTTTGGGGGGGGGGGGGGAATTCAAAGTTCGAGTGCATTCAAATGTTATTGTTAGATTTAATGTTATGGGTAGATACAAGTGTTGCGGTTAGGTTGTAATATGATGGAAAGATCCAATTCTATGTTTCTGCTTTTATGTTAAGATTTATTGAAAGTCAAAAAGTGCTAAGAACTGATGCAGTAGAGTACATATGTATTTTTCTTTTTTCCACAGAATGTTAAAAAATTGTGCATATCTAGATGCCATTTTTGTATTTTGTGTTCAGTTTTCATCTTCTTCTTCTTCTTCTTTTGTTGTCTCACTTTTACCGGGTTGTAATGCAGAATCGTGTTTTTCTGTATGTGTCTTGCGCTTCTCAGGTGGCTTGGGTGATAGATTTGTTCAGCTTTTGGCATTTTTCATCTACACCATTTATCTATCTCTTTCTTGGTCTTACTCTCGCCTTTCTCCCAGATGTTCTACTGTAAAAGGTCTCATGTGCAGTCTGGTCTGGTCAATTTTTATAACTTATTTAAATGAAAATAGTCTTTAAAAATGTAAATTCGACTTATGACCATTTCGACGAAATCCTTTAGGTTTTTAGTCTAGTTTACTTAGACGTTCCTCATTTACCTTGAGGTGTAGAGGTTTGCCAGAGAGATCGCCAGACTTCCCTGCGAGCAGTTTTATTGTTGACTTCCATTCGAGTCCTCTCTCAGAGACTGTTGGATGTTGTCTTCAAAACGCACCCTGGGTCGTCCTGGTGGTTCTCTCTCTCTCTCTCTCTCTCTGTCTCTCTCTCTCTCTCTCCATCTATCTCTCTCTCTCTCTCCCTCTCTTTCTTGTTGTACGCCACCAGGACATCACACAGGCGATAAACACCCCGTGACACAAATTGCCACCATGCCGATGAGGATCACTAATGGGAAGGTCACAGAAACCCCTTTCAGCCGTTTAGCCATATTTATAGCCCGGCTGGATTCAGGGTCCCCGGCAAAAG